CCTTCCTTCCTTCCTTCCTTCCTTCCTTCCTTCCTTCCTTCCTTCCTTCCTTCCTTCCTATCCAACACCAACAAATAAGATAATGGAATCCAGTGAAGTCCTCTGGCAACCATGTTTTCCCCTTTTCTGTCACCATACCTCAATTCCACACTTATATCTTTCCACTTTTGGTTTCTGCCCAGGTTGGGTAACACTTGCTCTCCTTTCTTTACCTCTCTGTGCTCACTGCACTGCAATGGTTCCATGTCCCTTTTAAAAAAAAAAATATTCAAGTTGCAATGAAAACACATTAGAACAAAGCCACAGAGTTTCAGTAAATGTTTTTTTGGTTCTCTGAACCTGAACTACCAGTTCTTGGTTACCATAAAATTTCTACGAACCCATAGTGGAACTAGAAAAGGAAGAAACAACGTGTTTCCTTTGCTTTAATCACTGTAGCATCAAAGCAGTGATGGTACAATGAGAAGGGGAGAAAGAGTCTGTGTTAGTGTAATGAAAGAACATGGGAAGGATATGTGAAGGCATCCATATGTGCAAACATCGAAGAAAGCCAAGGAGAAGGACAAGGAGGGAACAGTCCCTAAATGGAAAAGGCAGGCACTGATAGACCCACCCATATAGGGGCCAGACAACAAGGTTTGCCCTCCCTGCCCAGATACGAAGAGCAAGAAGCAGGGAAATGACTGATTAGGGCTTGTGGTGGCCATAGGTCACCAATCTGGCTTCACTGAGAACCACTGCAGTCTGGACTGGAATTTGTTAAGTCAGCTTCAGGAACAACTGGGATCAACAGAGGAGACAAGCATCTTAGACTGACATGTAGTATTGTCCAAAAAAGTCTTCCTCAGTTCTGGTCCTTCTTCCATATTTGGATGAGTCTTTTAAAAATGCATTTTTACGATTTTTGTGTGTCAGAAGTGCATTCATCTCTGACTAGTTATCTGTCACAGGAACTGAAGGCTTTAATAATCCTGCCGTAGGTCACTCAAAATCACTTTAAATAATGGTGTTGAGTAATGAGGGGGCTTTTATGGAGACAATTTAATTGAAATTACTTTCCCATTAAGTACATTTATAGCCTCAAATTAGTTGTATCTAAAGCTACATATGTCTGTCCAGTGATCTTTAAATGTTACACAAATCTTTCTGGCCACAGAGTCTCCTTGAGTAGTTGTCATATCCCTTATGGCAGACACATCCCCAGAGAATGAAGAGGAGCCAGGGGTCTTGAAAGTCAGTGAATGCATTAAACCAGGACCTACCACGGCAAGCAAGGAAGGGTTTGCATGGGTGCATTACTGCAATGTCAAAGGGCTGAGGGTTTAGGAGTGTGAGGTTGCAAGGAAAAACTCACTGGAGTGATCTGTTTGGGAATCATTTTTGTTTCCAAATCAACCTTCAATCAAAACTGAATTAGATACATACTGCTCTGTTGGGGGCGAAGACACGGAATTGTTATATAAAGCCTTCCTTTTTTAAAAAAAATGGGTTACTCCCAATATTATTATTTTGTTTGCTCCTGAGGCCAGCTGTTTTACATCCAACTCTGGAACTTGGATTGATTTCTTGAATTCTGACACTGTCTTATCTTGTGAGTTGTGGGTTGAAACTTTGATTACCTGACTTGGCTGATCCTTGGATTTTTAATAGGCTATGCTTTTTGCTGAATCTTTTTATCACATGTTGATTATGTGGGAGAAACTTTAACCCACCCAACTATATGTCCTTCAACACTGTGAGTCCAGTGGAGAATAATTCTGTAATGTTCTTTATATATTTTCTGTACAGAGTAACTATTTAAGGAACAGATATGCAATTTATTTAGACCAAAGACCAGACTTGAATTGTTTATGGTATCTGCATTCCAAAAAATAGGAACAGATGGAATTGAGATTTAATTTGATTTTGTTTAAATTTTGTTGAATTAAATATTGTTCATAGCTTCAAATATTTCATAATTCTGTATCTCAAATTAGAATTACAGTTCAGTAGCAACTTTTATAAAGGTTCTGGGGACCACACTCAAAGCTATCAAGAGCCTCATACTGTTTTAGGACAATAAATGGGATATTGAACTTCCTATGATATATTAGAATATAAATTAGATCAGTTTTCCCCAAACTGCTGTTTTTCAAATATGGAAAACACTTGGGACTACACCTTATTCCCAGCTAGCACTGACCAGAGCTCTTCTAACTGTCCATGCTAGTTAGGAATTCTCAGAGTTGTAATCTCAATTTACCTGGAATTCATGAAGCTAGAGAAGATTAAATAATTTAATCAAAGTAGAAGTTCTAACAAATAAGTTTAGGGTTACAAGTCCTGTCGACTTACTAGGGGGAGGGGAATGTCTAATGTTCATAAGTTATATTGCTGTTCTCTGTTCATTTTGTTAGGAAATATAAGCAAAAACTGTACAAGCAAAGGGTGGTCAGAGATGTTCCCACATTTTTTCATTGCTTGTGGATACAAAGATATTGAAGACAACACGGTAAGAAAAACTGGCATTGTTCATACTGAAAAATACTAAAGAACTATCTTCACTTTTAAGAGGTCTGGTATTTCCACCGTATGATAGGAAACAAGTACAAACATCCATCTGATTGGATGTTAACCATTGAGTTATTAGCTCCTTTAGAAAGATGGAGATAATTGTTCTGCACTGACTGTCGTTGGCTCACTAGAGAAGTCAGTTTTGCAGGTTAGCTGATAATAAGAGTTCTAGAAATACATCCTGCCTTGTGCAAATGAATCCTTTTTTTCTAATACAACATTCCATGAGATCTCGTGGGTCTCCTCTACTGTGAAACTTCTGAATGTGGGATACCTGTTTACCACCAATTTCCCAGTCTGGTGCCTTCTAGATATCTTGGCCTACAATTACTACCAGTTCAAACCAATATGGCTAATAACTGTGGGAGGATGAAAGAAGTTTCCTCCTGAAGTTTTCATTAGAGAAGCATGGAATGTCAAAGAGGCTGTAGACATCCTGTGAAGGTGGTGAAAGCTAATATCTAGCCTTTTGTGTGTATCTAACCTTTTTCATACCTTTTGTGTGAAAAAAGTATCATCATGGTGAAAAGGTTAACATAGTGCTACCAGATTTGGGCTGCAAAAATCAAGACCACTAGATGGCAGCAAATAGATTGTTTATTGCCATCTAGTGGTCATTTGGAATTTCGCATCCAAAGTATCTTAGCTTTAGTTAACATAAAACTCTTCCTGTTGTGGTAATTTTTTTTTCTCAATAGAAGTGGTGTTTTGCCTCATTTTTTTTACTGTAGGGGATCATTTCTCATCATAATTTTACCACTTCAGCCTGTAATCAGGTTCTTTGAAATAAGCAGAATAGCTTCAAGAAAGTTTCCAAAGCCCATCCTGGAGATGTGCCTTCTGTGAATATGTCAGATTATGTGTGGTTTGTACCTGTAACTCTTTGTTTAATAAATCTTTGAGAAAGTGACCTTCTGGCAGAAACTTCAGCCATGTTTTCTCTTGTGAGTTTTGACAGCTATAATTAGCTTACTTCTGTTTTTTCTCATCAGGATCTGTCAGAGCTGTCCATCTGTAGACACATGTCATGCTTGCATGTCTTGTATATGTGTATGGCAGCTCCCTGTAGGCTTGTTCTGAAGGATTTTTTTTCCATTTTAAAGAATGGTTGCTCCATGAACTTCATGAATTAAGGGATTTTTAGAAGGCTAAACAGTTTTAAGTTCTCATGGAAGTGGAATGAGATCATTCTTCCAGATGGTTTTTCTCCTTTGTCAGCCCATATGGCTGGAATATTTCCCACTCACACATGTTGCGGCCCCAGTCCAACTCTCCTTCCCAAACTACTGGCCCTGCGTTTATTAGCTGTTGTTAGCCCTTTGAGGTAGTCCAGACAAGAAGTACGACAATGAATGCTAACTGTATCTTTATTATAAGGTTACATTAACAGAATCTTGTAAGTCTGAAAGTAACCCTCCTGTCCCTCACTTATACTGTCCCAAAAACTAGGGAGGGTCCCTTCTGAGACATTTTATCCGGCCCTCCTCCTCCAGACTCAAATTTTGTTTGTCAGACCACTGTCTAGGCTGCAGCTTTTCCTCCTGTCTCCCAAAATCATTCCCACATACCATTACAGAATGGAGCAAAAAAGCTTAAACGCTGAAGGACATTTAGGGTAGACAAGTGGGTGCATTGGGAACTTTGACAACGTGTCAGAATATTGTTGCAAATTGACTACCAAGGAAGGAGTTTGCCTATTTACAAAATGGCTGCTGTGGTGTAGCATTTGTGCATGGCCAAGCACAAATATCCACTTACCAGAAGGAAAGCTGGTGAAGATACTTTCCTCCATCCCTCCCAGTCCCTTAGGATGGTGTCTGTATCCTACCTTGCCTTTTGTCTTTTTCCTGGATGGAGGGGGGGAGCATTTTTATTTTGTTAGAATGCCTATGGAATCCATGTAGAAATAGAAGTAACCCTCAAGCTGAGTGTTTCTATTTTTAAACTATTGACTAATTTTTAGAAATAATCAGGCTACTGTGGGAATCTTCCAGAGGCACACTGATGCAACCTAAGGTTAAATATAATTTTTCCTGCCCACCCCTTCTTTAATCTCTAAGGTTTTAAAATGTCTTTCTGATAAACAGGTATTAGAAACTCAAAAACTTGCATGCTGTTTTGTTCAATCTTCTTACAGGTCCCAACTATAATTATTTATATCCCAAAGGGCAATAGAAAGATATTTCTTTTGTACAGCTTTCCATAGCATCTTAGATGTTAGGTTGCAGCTGTCAGGCAGCTGAAAAGGAGGAGAATAATATTTAAGTGGAAGATACATCAAAGATGCTACATTTTTTATCTTGAATGAAATTTACTAAATCCATTATAAAAGAAATAACTTTTGATAGTCCCATAGAAGAATTCAATTATTTTACTTTTCCAGAGACTAACCTGATTAACATTTCTTCTGCAACCAGTTGCTTGCCTAAATAACACAAAGATCAATCTTACATTTACATTATGAGTGGATTAGATATTCTCGGCTCTATCCCACGTGTTCAGTCGAGGATGGAAGGAGAAACCAAAAGAAAAACAAAACTATAGAAGTACTGCTTCTAGACATGTGAATTAGTTCCTATCTGCCTTCTAATCAGCTATACTAGAGGATTCAAAACTATTGGTCAGTTCTCAAAAAGTTAACGGATGGGGAAAAAGAAGAGACAGGCACCTGTCCTTCTATATGTCCTGTTTCTTGTTCAATATTATTTTAGTGTATTTAATGTTCTTATTTGCTAGTAGAGATGAAATAAAATATTTGACTTCTTACTTTCAGAATTAAAGTGTAGGTGAAGGAAAACACTGTTGAAGCATGAAATGCAGGATATTTTTTTTCTAAAGTGTTTATCTCTGAATACATAGAATTGTGGGAGGTTTTTTGATTAAGCTCTTTTAAAACAGTATAATACAGCATAGAAAGAGGACAGTGATTAGAAGTAAGCTTGAAAGTGTTTTCTATAGACGGACAGGTGCCTGTCTCTTCTTTTTCCCCATCCGTTAACTTTTTGAGAACTGACCTATAGTTTTGAATCCTCTAGTATAGCTGATTAGAAGGCAGCCATGATTTATCTAACATATCCCTTCCATATTCCTGATACTTGGGACTAAAAATCTCAGAATTCCAGTCAACATCACCACTGGGGAGAGTTGATCTATTTCAGTAAACATAGTATGATTTAATCACTTGCTTCCCCAACAAATGTAATTTATCCTCCAATGGACTTTAGCTTGTAAATTCTCTGTATAGTAATGTTCTTCATCAGCTTCTTTTATATAAGCTCATATCTCAATAAACCTGTTAGGGCTTGCCCAAACAAGTGCTTTGTAGCTTAGATCAGCACTCACTGGACTTGGATTTCATGTTTTCAGGTTGCCAAGCAAATGGCATGTGGGATGAGCCACTTAGCTGCATGTTCCCAATGTCTGCCCTGTTCTCCCAGGATGACCATTGGATCCTCCTGGATGGGGAGCAATATAAAAGGCTTTCTGTTGCAATTAAGCCTTGTTTAAGCAATAAGGTCTTCTTCAAGGGGTATGTTCCTAAATTCTTTATTCATGGTTATTGGCTTCTCCATGGCCCCTAACCCATATTTGACTACTGCCCATGACCCTGCCTGGGCTTGTGACTTATTCTACTCACTGACCAGAAATTTTAGATTGATCAATAGGATTGGCATACCAAAGTCACCGCTGAGATGATATTGGAATGCTGCTCATGGTGTACCAATCCTATTGATCAATCTAAAATAAAACTTTGCCTTGTCATTAGGCAAAATAAAGTCGTTGCCTCAAGCAGTAATTGCTGGGGCTTGGTTACAGGTAGAAAACTATGTACTGTATTCCCCTCTTAAAGACGCTCTTACTTTCACATGCAGTGAAGAACGATGTCCCATTGCCAGTGATGAAGTATAATTAGGTTGCCAGTCCATAGGATATTTTGGACCTAGAATGAGAATGGGTACTTTAAAATCTTGGACTAGTCCTGAATTTCTGCTTCAGTCTTTATTTAAATGCTAGGAATGGATAGTGAGTCTTCTTTAATTTACAAGATGCCTAGAGAGTGTTTTCCTCCAGTAGCTTAATATTGCTTGAAAAAACATCCTAGAGAAGTCACACATATTTAAAAAATGAACTCAGAAAGACCTTGACAGAATTTAAACTAAAGCTAAATCCAAGATACTTTGTACTTTCTGTAGGTATTAGACTTACTACAATCAACTACTTTTCTAACCAAAGAAATTAAAGATAAGGTTACTGTCTGGACAGCAATCATGACATCATTAATATTATGTAGGAATGGATGCTTTTAGCATCCTTGAATGTCCTTCCTACAGGGAAAGATATGATAGACATCTGATAAATGAAATAATAAACTAAATGCCCAGTAGCAAAGTGTACCATTTGAGGAATCCAAACTTGCATATTATTTGCTGTTCTAATGCTATTCTTCCTCCAAGCAACCCCAAAAGCCATGTTATCTCTGCCCCATTTTATCTTCACAATCTTGCAAGGTAGGTTAGTAGAAAGATAGCTGAATTACTTAGGACTTTAAATAATGCAGACTTTGATCTGCATCTTTGTCATCCAAAATAGAATACTGTCTTAACCTCACCATGCAAATAAGCCATGTCACTGTCAGTCTGATACTGATACAAACCTGCTTTGCAAAAATATGCCTACTAAAGTAATGAGGATTACATTAAGAGAACACTTGTGTTAACTCTCTTATTTTAACTCTCCCAGATGCATTTCTTGTTTTGTGATGGAAGCTTTTCATTTAGTTGTTGTCTAAAAGAATCTTTCCATGAAATAGTTTTCCAGCTATTCAAGTCAAAAATAACAAGTCTTTTCTATTTGGAAAAAGTACTAAATTGCAGGTACAATGAATTATGACATTGCAAAATGCATACCTTGAGAATAGTTAGGAAAAGCAAAGTAGAC